ACTAGGGGGTACTAGGGGGCACTAGGGGGTACTAGGGAAGTGAAATCATAAACATAGTATGGGTTGTATAATGTGTAATACCAGAACATGCCGTGAACATATAATGAAAGAACGGTTTCTGTTCATTTAAATCCAGGTAAAAAATTTACATAAGTGTCATGACACTTGTTTTTGTTTTTTCCTTTTCTGTTTTATAAAACATGTACTTCGATGTATTGTCAAACAAAATTTGAATAAAACAAAGTTTAAACCAAATCCATTATTGAAAGGCAAATTGATAAATTTCAGAGAGGAAATAACTTTGGGAAACAAAATGAAAATACAATATTATAAGAATTTAGATTGCAATAGTGTGACAGTAGGCTGTGCTCTTATAAAAAGTATACACACTCGACTGTTGGTGCGTGGCGGTACCATGATGTGATCGGTTCGATACCGAGTAACCTATATATTTACATGGCGGACTGACCTTTCCTGGAGTTCTCAGCTAAACCCAGACTGTGAACATCCGTGTACACTGGTACTCTCCCGTCCCTGAACAGGTAAATCTACGTCAGCTGATCGTACAGCATGCATATGTTATAGTATTTAAATGCACACTAATATATACATGACACTGGAAACGACAACGTGTTACATGATAAGTGATAACATCGTTTACATACACACTAGCCAACACTGTCCGGCTGGCTACACATGGTAAGCCTTACCTGGAACGACTCCTTTCTTATTTTTCTTCATCAACGAACACGTCCGACGTGTTCCGTAAACAATGTCGCGTCACTGACTGGTATTGGAGTGCTCCCGTAAAATTTGCCACATCACGTATTCGCCATTCAGTAACGACTGAACATGCTTACATAGAGCGCAAGGCTGCAGTAGAGTACAAGTAAATAATATACCACACGTTGACCCAACCTCGGTCATCATATGTAAACACGATATTGTTCTTTCAGAGGATCGTCCCAACACATAACGAATAGCGCATACCATCCTATGTATGTCTAGTGCCGCGTTAAAGTGTAATAAACACGTCACCGTGTATTACACTGTAAGATACGTGCACGTGTCTGTCAAGGTTATCGGGAGTAAATATTGTGTGACATTTTTCCATATAGATAGCAGGTGTTATATTTCTGATTTGACAAGGAATTTTTCGCGTATCAAGTTCGAATGTTGGGGCAACATAATAGGCAGAGCTCAAAATGCTTAGTTTCGGAGTTTTCTGTCATATATAAATAACAATAAAGTAGTGACTCGGTGTGTTTCTTTCGCGTACCGAATTCAATTCTTAATAATTTTTCCATCGACTTTGTTTGTTATATAAACAGGTCCAGTACACTCTGCCGATTGAGCTATATAGCTGTAAAGACCTAGAATAGCTCTATTGACCTATCTGAAATAGGTCTTTTGAGCTATTTTCAAGTGATTTTCTTTTTTAAGGAAAACGAAACAAAGTCGCTTTTAAAAGAAGATTGTATCATTAGGTTGATAACAAAAGATATTAAATATAAGTATTCTTTTTAAAAAATAGTGATGTAAAAAAATCGGAAATTTTACACTTATGAAAAATGAAAATAAACATCTAACTGTATGCATTTTGTAGTCAGCATTACCATAAACCTTATTGTTGTATGCGACTTTGCTTTAAGGTTGCTCCACACATCGTCATCAGCGTCCATTTTCGTGCCGTACTTCCGGAAAAAGTACAGCTCGGACTCCATTATCTTGATCGACACCGTGTCGTCATTTCCGTATTGCGTATCGGGCATTCAATATCGTAGTGCAAATTATAGTAACACCAGGGCCGTTTTCGTTTAAACGGTCAAACCGATCGGACCACTCAGACTGTTGTTCGTTTATTAAATAAGGTCGGACCTAGTAATCTGATGCTGCTTTCAGGCGAGCCTTGAGAAAGCCGTGCAATGCCTGCATACACATTTGCAGGTCCGCCAGGATTTATACCCGAAATTGTTACATTTATAAACGGTCAAACCGGTTGTTCTACATAAACGAACAGGCCCCTGGTAAACAATAGTACACGTGCGTGCCGATGATGTGTCAACACACGTTATCTGATATTTTTACTATATTTTCTTTATTAAAAAAATATTTGTTCGCATCGCTACGCTCGTCTACTTTGTATCTTGACCCTAAAGTGTTTTTTTTTTATTTTACCACCTCCGCAAAACCCCAAGTTGCAACTTGCAACGCTCGGCGAAAATATACTAGCATAAGTTGCATACTTATATTATTGACCGCTCGTTATAGATGATCTGAAAATTAATACTTTTTATTGTAACCTTCCTAACCGCCCGGGCGATATTAATCATATCTTTCGGCTGACAATATTATGTATAATCGACTAAACATATCCATTCAATTATTTTGGTATTGTATATATTGTTGGAACTGTTTAACTATCTTGTATCACGGACTTAATTCCGTGCTTGTACATGTATGTACAACATAATATCTCATTGTGGTACTTATAGCTTACCGTCGTGTACGTACAAGAAAGTATCTTCACACAGCATACTATTGTGTACGTAGTAATAAGTTGTACGTACCAGAATGAGATGATATGCTGTAC